AGGTGCACGATTTTTGTCCAGTCTCTTCCCGCATCTCCCACACCCCTTTCCCCCCCAAGAATAGTCAGTCCATTCCCTTTCTATGTCCCTGATTCTATTATAATCACCAGTTCATTCTGTTCATCAGATTATTTATTCACTTGATTCTTAGATTCACTTGTTGATAGATGCATATTTGTTGTTCATAATTTGTATCTTTACCTTTTTCTTCCTCTTCCTCTTCTTAAAGGATACCTTTCAGCATTTCATATAATCCTGGTTTGGTGGTGATGAACTCCTTTAGCTTTTCCTTATCTGTGAAGCTCTTTATCTGACCTTCAATTCTGAATGATAGCTTTGCTGGATAAAGTAATCTTGGTTGTAGGTTCTTGGTATTCATCACTTTGAATATTTCTTGCCACTCCCTTCTGGCCTGCAAAGTTTCTGTTGAGAAATCAGCTGACAGTCGTATGGGTATTCCCTTGTAGGTAACTGAGTTTCTTTCTCTTGCTGTTTTTAAGATTCTCTCTTTATCTTTTGCTCTTGGCATTTTAATTATGATGTGTCTTGGTGTGGTCCTCTTTGGATTCCTTTTGTTTGGGGTTCTCCGCGCTTCTTGGACCTGTAAGTCCATTTCTTTCACCAGGTGGGGGAAGTTTTCTGTCATTATTTCTTCAAATAGGTTTTCAATATCTTGCTCTCTCTCATCTTCTGGCACCCCTATAATTCTGATGTTGGTACGCTTGAAGCTGTCCCAGAGGCTCCTTACACTATCCTCGCATTTTTGGATTCTTTTTTCATTTTGCTTTTCCGGTTGGGTGTTTTTTGCTTCCTCGCATTTCAAATCATTGACTTGATTCTTGCGCTCCTCTGGTCTGCTGTCGGGAGTCTGTATAATATTCGTTATTTCAGTCCGTGTATGCTTAATTTCTAGTTGGTTCCCCAATATAACATCGAGGGTCTCATTAGTTTTCTTGTAGATCTCATTAAGTTTATCGGCGGCTTCTAAACAGTTCTTGAGAGACCTTAAAAGTGTGGTTCTGAACTCTATATCTTCCATTGACAATTTTGTCCTGTTTCTTTGTCTCCGCATTTTGTTATGCTTCCTTGGTGCACCCCCTAGTGGTCTTTGTTCGCAGTCTTACAGTTAAATCTTGATTGTTGTAGCTAATTCCAGGGAGGGTTTGACCTCCAGGCCAAGTGGCTATGAGAATCAACTGTGTCAGCAGTGAGAGAACTTCTGTCCTCTAGGGAGGTGCTAATCTGGCCTTTGCCTGAGGCTATCCGGCAAATGCCTGTGTGCAGGGCTTGGGCGGGGCGGGTTGCACAGGATCAACAGGGTGGGCCGGAGAGAGCAGTTATGGCGGCTCTCAGTCCTGTCCCCAGGGGCTCTGCCTCTCTGAGTCCCAGCGACCGCTGCAAACCTCAGAGAGAAAGCTGCACTCGCTCTGACCGAAGCCAGACAGTCCCGCTTCTCCCGTTTGAGTCTGGGTCCCTAAAGACTCGCCTGTATCTGGAGCTCAGAGCCTGCGACTCCCTCCCGATTGAAAACGCCAACCGCGCCCTCCGCCGCCAGCCCGCTCCGTGCACTCCGCACCTCAGAATCTGACTTCAGCACTGCGCCTCCTCTGAGTGTCCGTATGCGTTTCTCTTTCCTCTTAGTTGTAGGACTTCCACTCAGCCAGCGTTCCTGTGGTTCTGGGTGACGTCCGTTCCGTTTTTTAGTTTCACTTTTGAAGTTGTTGTTCAAGGCAGCAAACTCCGGCGTTAACCTATGCCGCCATCTTGGTTCTCTCTAAACAGTTCTTGAGAGACCTTAAAAGTGTGGTTCTGAACTCTATATCGTCCATTGACAATTTTGTCCTGTTTCTTTGTCTCCGCATTTTGTTATGCTTCCTTGGTGCACCCCCTCGTGGTCTTTGTTCGCAGTCTTATCGTTAAACCTTGTTGTAGCTAATACCAGGGAGGGTTTGACCTCCAGGCCAGGTGGCTATGAGAATCAGCTGTGTCTGCGGTGAGAGAACTTCTGTCCTCTAGGGAGGTGCTAATCTAGCCTTTGCCTGAGGCTATCCGGCAAATGCCTGTGTGCAGGGCTTGGGCGGGGCGGGTCGCACAGGATCAACAGGGTGGGCCGGAGAGAGCAGTTATGGCGGCTCTCAGTCCTGTCCCCAGGGGCTCTGCCTCTCTGAGTCCCAGCACCCGCTGCAAAGCTCGGAGAGAAAGCTGCACTCGCTCTGACCGAAGCCAGACAGTCCCGCTTCTCCCGTTTGAGTCTGGGTCCCTAGAGACTCCCCCGTATCTGGAGCTCAGAGTCTGAGACTCCCTCCCGATTGAAAACGCCAACCACGCCCTCCGCCGCCAGCCCGCTCCGCGCACTCCGCACCTCAGAATTTGACTTCAGCACTGCGCCTCCTCTGAGTGTCCGTATGCGTTTCTCTTTCCTCCTAGTTGTAGGACTTCCACTCAGCCAGCGTTCCTGTGGTTCTGGGTGATGTCCCTTCCGTCTTTTAGTTTCACTTTTGAAGTAGTTGTTCAAGGCAGCAAACTCCGGCGTTAACCTATGCCGCCATCTTGGTTCTCCTCCCATCTTTCTCTTATAAATTGCTCCTATTCTTTTGTTTTCCCATCTTGGATTATTCTCTTCTCCTTAACCCCCGTATTTAATTAATCACTAGGTCCTGTTGAATTTCGTTCATAAATAATTCTGGTATCTGCTTTTTTTCTCATAATCAGCGCTATCAATCCATCGTTCAGATCCTTGTATTTTACAAGTATTATGCAATAGCTTTTTACTATTTTCACCTCCCCCATATCTATCTCAAATACTGTTGTCAGAAGGATTTTTTGAATACACATTGGTTACACCACTCCTTAGCTCACAAGTCTTAGCTCAGTAGCTTCCTATTGCTTACAGAATGCTGAAATCTAAAACTTCTGCTTAATATACATAGCTCTTTCATAATTTGACCTCTGCTTATCTGTCCAGTCTCTTCTTAGCCTCCTCCCCTCTCCCTTCTTCCGCTCTCCCCCACCCCTTCCCTTTCTCCCCCTTCCTCTCCTTCTTCTTCCTCTTCCAAAAGGTTTTAGTTCCCAGATGGAAAAAGATCAGTTTTCATCTAGTACAGTGGTTCTCAACCTTGGCTGCACATTAGAATCACCTGGGAATCTTTTTAAAATCCTGATTTCTGGGCCTCATCCTCTGGAAATTCTGTTTCTTTGTTACTAATGTTGTGGCCCCACCCCATAACAAAGAAACAGAATTTCCTGAGGATGAGGCCCAGAAGTCAGGATTTTAAAAAGATTCCCAGGTGATTCTAATGTGCAGCCAAGGTTGAGAACCACTGCTCTAGTATCGCCAGCATTTATCATAGTGCCTGGAGATAAGAGAAACTCAAATACTTCTTGATTTACTTTAAGATCTGAGGCAGTTTCTCAGGGAACTTACTGTTGTCCTAAATAAACCATCCTCCTTCCTCCTCCCTCTAGGTCCTAGCAGTGGTTCTCAACCTTCCTAATGCCGCGACCCTTTAATACAGTTCCTCATGTTGTGGTGACCCCCCAACCATAAAATTATTTTCATTGCTACTTCATAACTGTAATTTTGCTACTGTTATGAACCGTAATGTAAATATCTGATATGCAGGATGTATTTTCATTGTTACAAATTGAACATACTTAAAGCATAGTGATTAATCACAAAAACAATATGTAATTATATATGTGTTTTCCGATGGTCTTAGGCAACCCCTGTGAAAGGGTCGTTCGACCCCCAAAGGTGTCGCGACCCACAGGTTGAGAACCGCTGCTCTAGGTGTCTAGGTTTCTTACAGAACCTAACAGACAGGTCACTGTTCACTCTCCTTACCACTTCAGATAAACTTTACCATTCCCTCCTTTGTGCTTCCACCGAATGTAGCAGGTAAGTCCCATCCTAGCATCAATCATGTTTCATATTGTATTCCAATCATCTGACATGTTATGCACACAAAATTTAAATGAATTAGGGTTCATCTTGATTAAAGAGACTTTCGTAAACATTCTAGAACGTCAGCATTATGCATACACTGTAAAAAAACACCTTTGCAACCCAATTCAAATTATTGTTTTTAAAACGCTGCATCCTCCAAAAACTTTAATTGTCCTCAGACAGATGACCCAAGCTTAGCTACGGAAACTCAAATGTCAGGAGGAGACCATGACTAGAAGGTCAAGAAAAGGATGATTGGCTGTTAGGGCTCAGAAGTTACATGCTCGTCTCAGACCGATACTAGAACTGGGAAACAGCATGAACGGCAATGTTCAGTTTTTGAAATACGGTTTTTGCATCGTCAAGAAAAAAGATTAACCTATCAGGAAGAAGTCAGCACATTCAATTACCAATCAAGAGCAGGAAAGAAGCCAAAGCCTGGGGATACCCAAGCACCAATGAGGACGTCATTCTCTAGTCTCCGCCAATGAGCGGCTGGATAGGGGGCGGGGCAACAGGCGGACCAATTGCCACAAAATACAATCTGCACTACAACTGTTCTAACCACAGTCCTCGCCTCTCAAACCACTAGAACAAACTCCTGACGAGGCGTTTGTTAAATACTTTCTACTCTCCTCGCCCCGGGACCGTTATAGTGAAGTGCCTTCCTCATACCAGAACTAAGGCCTTCTTTCCACCAGCTCCCACAGACTCGCAGAAAGAAGAATTGCAACTTTGCACTTTTTGCCTTCACAGGAACTGGCACTCCAGCGTTACCTGAGGGGGTGGGACAGGTCCAGTGCGCAGGCGTGCATGCCTTGTGGGGGCGAGGCTGTAGTGACGCAAGGCAACCTGGGAGTTGTATTTTTTTGTGCTGCTGAAACTCAAGTGCTCCTGGGGCCGCCTGAACTACATTTCCCAAGAGCCTCCGCGACTTCGGGGCGGGAGGGCTGGTTTGTTAATGAGCTCGAGGAAGCCGCGGCGCGGCCCACCAGGTTCCAAAACAAGGAAATGAAGGGGGGAGGCGGGATTGGGGTTGTCTGCTGGAGCTGCCGCCACCGCCGCGGAGGAGGAGGAGGAGGTGGCTGCGGGGACCGCCGAGGAATCCCCTGCTGAAGGCGGCCCGCGGGGCGGCGGGTGTCGCGCGCGTGTGCGCGCGCCCGACTGGCGGCTGTTGGAGAAGTGGAGCGGCGGTCGCGGGGGGGAGGAGGAGGAGGGACTGAGCGGCGGCCCCCGCGTCCCGGTGCCTCTATGGGGGAAGCAGACAATGGATTATGATTTCAAGGCGAAGCTGGCGGCGGAGCGGGAGCGGGTGGAGGATTTGTTTGAGTACGAAGGGTGCAAAGTGGGACGCGGCACCTACGGGCACGTCTACAAGGCGAGGCGGAAAGATGGGTAAGAGCTGGGGCGGGGGAGTAGGCTGGCTCGGGTCCTCGCCCTGCCCGCCAGCGCGCGGGGTGGGTGGGTCGGAGCCCGGCCGTGCCCGAGGGGCGAGGCGGAGGTGGTCGCGGCGCCGCGTCCTGGGACGGACTCGGAGGGACGCGGGTTCTGCCCGCCCCCCCATCCTCCGTGCGGCCCCGTCGCGCCCCTCGAACTCTCGCGGCGCAGCTTGTTCGGGGGGCGTCGGCCCCGTCCGGGAGGGAGATTTCCGCGTGCGAGGAGCTGGCGGCGGGACGCGAGTTGGGGTCTGATCGGAGGTGGAGTTTGTGGGGTCTGAGCTCCTGGGGAGACGCGGAGGGCGGAGAGCTCCGCCGAGGAGTTGCCGCTCGGGCCCCGGGCTGGTGACGGTCGTTATGGAACTTCCAATCGGCTGGGCGCCTTCCGGGGGCGGCGGTTTGAAACCTCGCGGAGAGCGTCGGGCGGCCGAGCGCCGGCGTCCCAGACAGCCTGGCGGGTCCGACCCGCGGGGCACCGCCGCCGTGGGGCCGGCCAGCCCATGGCCCTTCAGCGCAGGTCCTCCGTCCCTGCCGGCTACCCGGCGGCTTCTCGACCCCTCCCCCGATGAGCTTTCTCCCGTCTGGGCTCTGCACCTTCCTTCGAATGTGGGGTCCCCCGAGAGCGGAGCCGCGTTTGGCCCGCGGAATGGAAGAGTTCGCCCAGTTCTCTGGTAACTCCTTCCCCCACCGTGGGTCCTCCGAGGTCCTCCGCGCCATCCTCGGCCACAGGACTGCGGGCCGGGGTTTTCGAGCCCCCGTGATCCAGAACGGAATGCGGAGCGATACAGATCCGGGCCGAACCTTTGTTTTCCTGGGGGCTGAGGGGGACCTGAAGGAACCCCTTAGGAAGCCCTTGCTGATTGTTCTCCGACTTAGGGGAAGGCGAGCTGGATAATGTCCCACTGAGGACGCCTCTCCCTGGTCCTGGAGGGCTTGGGCTGGCGCTGCGGGACAGGGGGGGACCCCACTACCTGCCTGCGAAGAGGAGGTTTACATCCATCCTCACCTCCTTGCCCATCCTGGCAGGAACTGCCCTGCCCCAGAACGAGAGCCTGCCCCCCCTTAGCCTTTGAGCATGGTCTCACTGTACGGGAGACATGCCTTGGGCTCTCGGCGGAACATGTCTCAATAAGCCATGTCAGTCACAGTGACATCAGTAAGTTTGAAGAGCTGCTTGTCGTTCTGTGCGCCTTGTTGTCCTCGGAATGGTGGATACATGGACTTTAGGTAGTGCGTAGGTGTGTGCTAATTTCATACAGGGAATGAAAAGGCACACGTTATAAGTTGCTTTATCATGAAACGTGAAAATTATAAGTTACTATATTATAGTAAATAATTTCTTCTCTTGTTATAACTGAATGGGCCCCATAGTATTCAGTTGTTTGTAAGCTTTTTTTTCTCTCTCTCCAGAATGCTTTTAGTTAATTGCCAGGTGTCTTTGAGGTACTGTAATTGACTTGTATTTTGTTTTTGGATTATCCACTTTACTTGTTACACCGTTGTTCTGGGGGAATCTACGTCTGATTGTCCTGATTGGACATTGACATTACAAAACAAACCAGATGTGCTGTTTTTCACACTCATGCTAACTTTGTAATATACTTGATCTGGAATTTTAAAAAATGTTTTTTTGATTTTTTTGTTGGTTAAAATAGCAGGCAACTTTTGAGAAAAGTTAAAAATTCCGCTTCTGAATTGTATTTGAATAGCATGGGCTACAACAAAAACAGATAATTTAATTCCTGCTTCTATTTCTTCTTTTAAAATATTTCCCTCCTCTAATAAAGTTTTTGAGTCGAATACACTTTTTTCTTGTGTGAAATTTGTTTGACTAGGATTAATGGAGATTCTTTAGTAAAGATCAGTTTGTGTATCTTCAAAATATTATGCTTTAAAAAAAACTTTCAGGATCTGAAAGCATTAGTTTTCCTTTTATTTTTTTTGAAAGCATTAGTTTTAATTACTATATTTCTTACATGTAAGAAAAGTCAAAGTAAAGGATTTCTTTCTTGGACCAAAGGTCTAGTTGAAATTTAAGCTACACTTCCACATCTCTTGTGGGTTATGTCAGGTTCATTTTGATGTTCATTGATACCAGCAGTTTGAAAGAAAAAATGTTTAGTGATGTTCTAAACCAGCGGTTCTCAACCTGTTGGTCGCGACCCCTTTGGGGGTCAAACGACCCTTTCACAGGGGTTGCCTAAGACCATCGGAAAAAACATACATAAATTACATATTGTTTTGTGATTAATCACTATGCTTTAATTATGTTCAATTGTAACAATGAAATTGGGGGTCACCACAACATGAGGAACTGTATTAAAGGGTCCCGGTATTAGGAAGGTTGAGAACCAATGTTATTATACGGATTTGCATAGTAAAGGATTTTATACTCTGATCATGGTAAATAACAGTTTAGCTCTTTCCAGAATTTATTTTGGTTAACTCAGAAAAACGTGTAATTCTATTTTAGAGAGCAAGAAAAATCACATGGATACCTTAAAGAGAAATTAGTGTATATGTAGTGTAGTATACTGTATAACCAGTAAATTGTTCAGGTCTTTAGAAGAACTAATGTAACATAAAACATAATTTGAAAAGCCTCTATTTATAGTTTAGTATTACAGTTTATAAAACCTTAGAATTTTATTTCCTTTGAAATGTACAACTTTAACTTAGACCATATTAATTATGCTACATAAATTTAGAACAGACTGCAAAATGCAAGATTTACATCTGAGTTTTTCACCTTTAAATTTTATTTGTTCCATCCAAAGAAAGAGAATCTTTTCACCCAACTTTTTTAAAAAAAATCAGGTTAAAAATTTATTCTTGAAGAGAAACAAGTTCAGAATATTTCTATATGTTTTAGTATGAGAAGAATTTGTGATACAGTTTTTCTTTTAACATTAGTAAAAAGCCACAATAGTTTATGGTTACAAATCTTGAGACCATATTTCTCAAGTTTGAAACACTTTTTGTTTTGATTGATAAAGGAATATTGTTAAAAAGTTCTTTGTCAGTAAGAGGTTCAGACAAACATGATTCCATAGGATAGTGTTATGTCTGAAAACTTGTACCCAACAATACTACTATTCAACTTTGCAGACATTCATTTAGTCTTTTGAACCACTCCAATAAAAGAATGCTCCTTTTTGGAGATGTTTTTGAAAGATACTTAGTAATTGAAAGTGAAATGGCTGACACAGAAGTCTTACAGAGTTAGGGTTTCAGATGAGTAGTTGATGACTGTATGTCTTAATGTATGCCATGAAACCTTCTACAAATAAATGTAGTAGGTAAATAATAGAATAGTGTTTGCCTGGTTTTGATGGATTTTTCACATTTGGTTGGTAGTTAAATAGATGATTGTGTTTGCATTTTTTTGGAGACCTGAAAATTAAAGACGTATCAGTATGATCATAGCATTTTAGAACTTGCAAGAGTTTCAGATCATCTTGTCTAATTTCCTCTTTTTACAAATGAGAAAATCAAAGCTTTTAGAAGTTAATTGTTATGCCCGCAGTCTCAGCAGAGACAACCTGAAGTCCAGATCTCTTGACTCTGAATTACTGCATTTCTAATGTCTTTTCCATCGTAATGCCATGGGAGGAGAAACAAAAAAAGGCCTTTAGTTTTGACAAACTTATTATATAAACTTTTTCCATGCAAAGGATACATCTATACCAAAGAATATGGAAAAGGGAAAATAATCACATATGAGGGACATTTTTAAAAAGTAGGCATGCTGGCCTCTGGATTCTATCACTGATTCTCTTCATCTGGTTTCTCTTCATCCTCACTGTCATTACTTTTGGTCATCTTCTGATTTGCACAGTAGCTGATTGGTCTCTGCCATTAGTCTTTCCTCACTGTTACCCAAGATCAAAGTTGCTGCCAGTGTCATTTTCGTACAAAATAAAATAAATCATGTCATATCTCTTATTGGAAAAACTGTACATTCTCTGTGTCTCATACAGTCACATCCAATCTTAATTCCTTAGTTTGGCATGTAAAAGTATTTGCATTCAGATCCTAAAGCCTTTAGTCTTCACAGTCTTTACACTGCCACCAGCTCCCTCTTTTTTTTCCAGTGTGTTCAAGCCGTATGCTTTTGTAGCATTGAACTACTCAGTTTTTAGGACTTGCTAAGTTTTTCATGTTTCATTTTCTTTTTTCTATATTGAAATTAGAGTGGTGTTGCTCTACCATTCCTCCCTCTCTCTTCCTCTTACCCCATAGACCTGGCAAACTCCTGTGTCTGCTCCAATTTAAATATTTTTTCTTTTAGAAGCCTCCCCTTATCCACCCAGTATACTCATTAGCTGTGCTTCTGTCCCTCTATTCTTATGTGTATAATAGCACTGTAAGTGATATTTATCTGACCCTTCAACTAATAGCTACAAATGTGTGATCACAGGGTTGGACACTTACTGCACTCTCAAAATTTGTATTTAATTTAAAAAATGCCCTGAATTGGTAAACATGAACCCCTAATTTTTTAGTAATAATTTTGAAAGCCTGAAATACAGTGATGTTGCATGAGATACATGGTTAAATATAAATACTTCTGTAGCACTAACAAGGTCTAGTGTAATTTTTGTTCTAAGAAATTATATGGTGCTTTTCAAGATAGTTGAAACAATAGATTGATAAGGAGCGTAGGTGAATTTTTTTGAATTACTAGGCATTTTTTGGTCTTTATGCCAGCTCTTCTAAAGGATCTAGACTGCAGTTATCTATCTTCTGTGCTTTTAGTACCTATTTTATAGAGATGCTTAGAAAATGTCAGTGTTCAAACATTTTAGGACTTTTTTGATATCATGGATATATTTTAAAAAGTTAAGTAGCACTTAGTGAATCAAGTAGGCATTGGTATATGTTTAATTGGTTCTTCATTTATGCATTACAAGCCTTCAAAACTTTATTTTTGAGGCCCAGAGGAAATATTCTTTTCTT